AGTGTGGCCTTGGGCCCTAATTGGCCTGTGTCGGGACCTCGACTTTTACTGCTCCCGGTGACAGGGTCGCATGGTCCGGAGCGGGGTATTGGTGGCATGCAGGCTTGGATGGTTTCCCAATTCCGCTCTGGGGTAATTCGTCGGCAAACTGCAGAGCAGTACGCAAGGCTGTCAAGTGTTGTTGTTTGCTTGACTGCGATAAATGCATTCGTGTAGTGATGCGTCCTCGCCTGCGTGAACAAACTGAGGACGGTATGCCTTCGGAAGCAAAGTAGGAACTTGAACCATCGACGATGTATCCATGCCCTGGTTTTTTGCAGTGTCCTCGTTTGGGATGTCGCTGTGTGGACTGATCACTTTGTCGCAGATTTTCCCGGATGGTTCTGAGTTACTGCGCAGCACATGGTCTCACGGGCCATATCGGCTCAATCGCTGTAACATCGATTCTCAAGGAGAGGCTAGTGACGACACGGAGAAGCAGACGCTGGTTTTGGGTGGCAAGGGCACCGAAGGAGATAAAGGGAGGAAAGGTCATAGATTGGGGAGAGATCGGTTCCGGCAGCAGTTGTACAGCATGGGGTCAGCTACATCCGTCTCCGACAGCGGGGCCTTCACCTCAGAAGCCCAGCAACAAAGTTGAGCCGCATGTAGCTGCACTTGCATCTTAGCTGGAGTCGAAAGCTCGAAGCAAGGACCCATATTGGCGTGACAATCCGCAGACTTCAGCTCTGGGCGGACGCGATGCCAGATCCCAAGCATGGTGATGGCCCTGAAGCGAGTGACCTTTGAGGGCAGGATCAAAGGGGCTGCCATTCCTTGCCCCGGCGCTTTCCGCGGCTTTCGGATCCCGCAGCTTGCTGATATGAGAGGTCTACTCGAGCAGTGCGCTGTGCGGCGCTCGGCCTTTTGACCATGACACCTCGTGCGATGGAAACTAACGATACTAACGTCACCATCGTTCCCTCAAAGCCTTCGGAGACGTCCTCGCGAGCCTTGCATGTGGAGCCTAGGGGCCATCTTCCCTCCCCGTTCACAGGCTTGCAGCTCAGTTCCGCAAGGGATGCGTGTCCCCAGCTCTGGTGCTTGTTTTGAAATCCGGAGTTCTTTCAGTAGCTTGCAGTCGTTGTCCTGAGTATCTGTGTATGCCAAAAGCAGAGTTGCTGCGCCGGAGGTCGCCTTGAGTATGCGCGAGCCCAAGCACAGCAGTGGTTGTGCAGGCAGTGCTTGTCTCTGGTGGTGTTTGCAGAATGGAAGGTGCTGGCGGAGTCGCGCTCCCCAACCGAGCTGCAGGCTCCAGGCAAGATATCCCATGAGCGAAAGCTTCGCCCATGAAGCGCCCCCCCGTTTTCAGGACTGCTGCCAAACCCACATGGGCCGACCCTTCAGCCATCAGGCGGGCAGCCTAGGAAAGAAGGAGTTCGGGGCTCTCCCTCCCGGACTTTCGTGATTTGCGGCTTCAGACCGGCTATTTCGGGGTTCCAGGTGCTTGCGCGGAGCGGTTGAAAGTTGGGGTTTGAGTTTTAGGCATCCTGCTGTGGCGGCTTCGTCGTTTGCTTTGCGTCTTCCGCTTCATGCCCACAAGGACGACATGTCGCCTAAGCCCGAAAGCAACACCTGAACCCTAAACATATCACATATCCTTCTTCGGAGAGTTTTGAAGGAAGCGCCTCGGTGCAGGTTTCTCCGTGAGCAGAGATCCGGTTTACGAGCGCCAGCCACTCGCGATGCCGTACGGCCAGACACTCAGAAGTTTATTTGGAAGGTTTTGGGACATGTTTTTTGAGGAGGGGCGGGGGCAGGGGAGGGGATGTTGTAGGAAGTTACGAGAGTATGCAGGAGTGGACGCGTCGAGAGTCTAGCCGTCGACCGCTACATTCTGAGCTTGTGCAAAGGGCTGCCGAGTGGAGATGGGCGCGTGGCTTCTTCCCTCTGGCCAGCCAAGACTACACCAGGACTTTTGGCTTGATTGCACTTCTCCTCTCGCTTTTGGGTATCCCGTATCCGTGTACGAGAATATAGAGTATTTAGGGCCTCTGTTGTTCTATCTTCTGAACTCGTATTCTGAGACCGGGCAAGAGCAAGGACCCGAGTTCCCGGAGGCAACGTTTCACCAAAAGCCCGCAGCTGAGATAAGGGACGCAAGCAAAGCAAAGTGGAAGAGAGAGAGGGAGAGAGAGAGCGCAACCCCCAAACCCCCACCAAGCAAGCAAGAGAGAGACAGGGAGAGATAAGGAGTCTGGTCATGAATGTTGTGCGAATCGATAATCACGGGGGGGATCCCGCCAGAAACTCCTAGTGAAGCAGAGTGTTGGGTTGGCCGAGCGCTCAGAGCGTCAGTGTGTGTATGCTAGCTTTCATGTCTGTTTTGTCAAGAGCCCATGTAGCGGCGCTTGCCACCCAAGGGGGAGCCTTAACCCGATATGATGGTTGAGATCGATGTCGTTGCTGCTGGGGTAGCCTTCTGAGGGATGAACTTCCCGAAGGGGGGGACAAGCCCGCCCGTGAACCCGGTCCGCCCTTGGGATCTGTTGTCGCCGACACTTGAATCTCTTTCCCAAGTCATTGCAGCGTTGGAGTGATATTCGGCATTGGGGATTTGTCCGCTGCCCTCGCGATCCACGGTTGTGCATTCGCTGATGCGATCACATCGTGTGTTTTCTTGATCCAATGCTGCAAACACTCTTGATCTTTGTAAGCATATTTTCGAAAAAATGTGCGAGTGGATTGGAATGCCTGTCTGTGCTGAACATGAAGCTTAAAATAAGACTTATGCAAAGAAGAGCGAGACAGACAAGAGCCAGTGCTGCTTCTGCTGCTGCTGCTGCTGCTGCTGCTGCTGCTGCTGCTGCGGCTGCTAGGTTTGCGATGAGGTCGTGGTTCTTCTGCTTCAGCTGATGCTGGCTCCAGCTTTGCTGTTGCTGTTCCGTCATCGTTGTCGTCAGCGTTGCTGCTGTTTTTCGATGTGATCGTTACGACAAGCGCAGAAGTACCTGCAGCACGATGTCTTCAGCGAGGTTTTCCCACTTGGATTTCAATGCCGATCGGGACAGACGGTGGCCGTCGTCAAGTGCGCCGCGACTCTTTCGATGCCAGGGCTACGTCGGCTAGGTGGTACTGGTCCCAGGACTCTAGGAGTCTGCCGGGCAGGCTTCAGCTACCGGATGGAGGCGCTGGACCAGCCGCCCATGCCTTTGCCAGGAAGCCGGTGCCCGAGAGCGCGTCGAGCGCAACAAAAACCAGACTCACTAATCACACTGGGATCGGTCTGTCAAGGCTTCCCTGGCAAGCCCTTCACGTTGCTTATCTTTGACTGGGCCGGGCACTGGGCACCTGCTTCTTTCCGGATTGCGAAGTTCCCACTTTGTTTTGGGAACCCCCGGTGCAGCGGGACAGCGACTGAGGATGACACGTTGATGTGCAGCTCCGCGATCAACGCCAACGAGTTCCTGCGCTGCCCTTGACAGCTCCATGCATGCCTCGGAGTATCTCTAGGAGAAGTCGACGTTGAACCCTTTGATTGGATTAGGGCTTTAGGGGTATAAAACCATAAAATACCTTGAGCGTCTCTCCACCTCTCCCTCTCCCTCTCCCTCCCTCCGTGTCCGTCCCATCCCCAGCGAGACCCCATCACTGCAGGCCGCATCAGTACAACCAGCTCGAGAGCCTCGTGGAGCAGGCAAAGTGTACGTCGTACGTCGGAGTTTCGTCTCACAGTGCCATATACGGTTCTTGTAGTGGTCCTTGCTGTTGTTGCGATTTGTGGTAGGATTGCTTGGATATTTGTTGCTGCCAGTTTTTCCATCTGGGTTAATTTGTGCGGTGCAGTCGATGTTTGCGTCTGATTGGAAAGCCCGGATTGGGCATGTTCGTACGTTTCAGCTCTCCAGGTGCTTCTGGCGGCCATGCGCCTTGGGGAGACCTGCATCGTGACCAACGCAGATGAGAAGCAGCCCCAGCGACTAATTGGTGGTGCTTAAGACGTGGTATTGCTTCGAGCCGGGGGTTTGGGTGGTGCTGTGAGGATGTGGGTCACCGAGAGCGCACGGCGCTACATGCCACGTGTGCTTCCAATACTGTCCGAGTCTTACAAGCAGGCAATGCACGACCGGTTAATGCACTGCAGTTGCCGTGAGGGCTGTATTTCGGTTCAAGTGTCATCCTTTGACGCTCTCAGGTCGCGCATGTCCGTCGTGTCGGCACGACGGCGATTCGACCCTCGAGAAGCACTGGAATCCAAACTCCCAAAGTCCTACAGTCTCGTGATAATAGAATCAACAAACAACAATGTCAAACAGTCGTAACCCATCATGCTGCAAAGCGGCAGAACCTCAGCCCTCGATCCAGTTTCAACTCTGAAGAGCCCTGACTTATCCGTACATCCACATGATCAGACAGAAGTATACAATGTACAGTCATGCGCATGCACACATATTCCTGCGTTTCTCCCAATATGTTACAGGGTGGTTCGGGATCCGTTTGGAAACTCAGGAGCGCACCTGGCCTGGTGACGTGTTTGCTTGGAAGCGGGAGGCGTTTCGCCAGGCCGGCGAACAGAGGACTGATGCGTGAGGTTGCGTGAGATGGGTGTGACGTGATGTGATGTCATATGTTCTGTTGTGTTATATGTTATGTTCAGTACACACGTATGCATGTACTGTTCATGTGTAGGTAGACAGATGGGCTCGTATGGGTGCAGCACCAAATCGGATGATGCAGTACCATTGATTATCGTGTCTTTTGTTTCGATGATGACCATGATGATCCCAATGGGGCGTCTTGAAGTGCAGTTTCGAGGCGAGTTTCAACGACAATCTCAAGAAGAGAGTCCTATATCTTCGCAATCACCCACATGCATTCGGACTAAACCTAAACCTTTTCTTCCACGGTGTTTCCGAGTTTTTGTGCATCCCCGGCAGGTCTTGTCGTCCTGGCAGGCGAATGCGCTTGCTTCTGGGGGCATGCACCTCAGCCGACGGCTCAGAGGTTTCTTGTGCTGGCGGTTTCTTTGGGTCGGAGCTCGGGGATCTGAACAGCTCTAGGTCCTTGTGGCTCAGAGTTGGATGTGGTTTCTGGGTATGCTTTGCCAGTTGTTCTCGGCGACTCCGTGGTCGAGATGGAAGCCGCGGGAGCCTTGGGATCCTGAGCGTCGGGCACACCGGAACGCTCTTACCCCTAATCCCTGGCGGGCCTTCAACCTCAAACCCCACACCTTAAGCCCTTTCCGACGGTCCGACTGCAACTGCTTGGGATAAGGGCCTCCGTACGAAACCAAATTCTTAAGCCCTCATTGCCTCAATTCCTTCATGAAGTCCATGCTACGAGGCACACACCTCCTCTGTGGGCCTGGTCTCGCCAACGGCCGTGAAGACGGTGGCCCCCTGTAAACGGGATCCGGGTTGGCAGTGACCTGTCGACATGTAGCCTATCTGTTTATATTATTTGTATACGAAACACACATCCGAGAATGTGTTAATTGTGCACGCGCACACAGAATACATACATACATCCATCCATCCATCCATGCATGCATGCATGCATGCATGCATGCATGCATGCATGCATTCATACATACATACATACATACATGCATACATACATACGCAAATATAAGTAAGCACACACCACTCTTTCTTCACACGGACAATAAGTACAATTACAAATAAATATGCAAATAGATACAAATATAGATATAAGTACAAATAAAAATGTACATACATATGTATATATATATATAATTATATATATATACACACATACATACACACATGTACATATATATATGTATATATATATATATATGTGTGTATATGTATATATATATGCATGTACATACATACATACATACGTACGTACGTGCATACATACATACATACATACATATACATACATATGTATCTATACACACTTACATACACGTGCAGACACACAGCTGCGCAGCCACGCACCCGCTCGCAGACACGCACACGCGCACACACGCACGCACACACGCGCACACACACACACACAGAGACACTCTCTCCGTCTCTCCTCCTTCTTGTTGTCCATACAATCATACATGCATGCATGCATGTATGGATCGGTCGATGCTTGCATACAAACATCCGTGTTGCAATTATACAATGATACATCGTGCACACAATTGCATGCATGCATACATACATGCATACATGCATCCGTTCATGTGCAAGCAAGCATGCGTGTGTGCGTGCGGGGGTGGCTGCGTGCATGCATGCATGCATGCATGCATGCATGCATGCATGCATGCATGCACGCATATATATATATACATACATACATACTCGCATTTTGGTATACAGGTACAAATGTCTACATGCATGTGCGAATGCATGCATGCGCGCATCATGCATCTCGTTTGAATAATCCGTCTCTGTTTATGTGTACGTACATGCACACACACACACACACACATATATATATATATACACACACACACACACACTCAGATATGTTTACACACATAAGTAACAGTATGTACTTATACGCACATATAATCTACAAGGAAATATACTGTTATACTTTACATTACATTGGTATGCACAGGCAGACACGACTGCATCAAGACAGTCTGAGCAACGCACCAAAATACTCAGGCAAAGAAGACGAGCACAATACGTAGCAGTCAGTAGCAGTGGATACGGCAGTATTCCTCCGCGCACCATCACCTCTGACTGGTAACATGGGAGGTAAAATTCAAGGAGGTTCCCACCGTCGAGGAGCTGCTCGAGCAGCTGACAATGCTGAATCAGGCCATCCGGAAACCTCCAGTTGCCGCCCTGGGAAGCTTATAGTTTCAAGAGGCCTTGACAGACCTCAAAGCCTGAAAATCCCGCAATTCAGTCAACAAAAAGGGGTTTTCGATCATTGACCCGGTGCCTGAACCAGCGTTGACTGTCGACGAGCGGGCAGCTTCCACTTTTTACAGGGGTTGTGAGAGGCTTTGGCTTTCTTGAGTGTCTGGAGCTCTGCTCCCTGAGCGCCTGAAGTAGTATTGAACATCCCATTCTTCTGTGTGGCCGTAGCCCGTGAACCGTACGTCAGAAGACTTCTGGGCGCTTGACCATGAAACGGTGTGCTCCCGACCTACGATTGCTGCTGCTGCGGCTGCTGTCCTTTGTCGGATTGTTGTCGTGGTTTTGCCTCTTTTCTGGTCATGTCGCGTGCAGCATTCCAAGGACAAAGTCCTAAGCCCCAAGGCTAGACTAGGAATATCAAACATCTCCAACTTCGAAGCCTCGCTTTCTCTCCCTTGAGGAGCTCGCTTCCATCGTCGCAGACGACCGGAGCGGCTACAGGCCCGGGCCCGGGTCAGTCTTTGGTCGGTCTGGGCCGTGTTGAGGCCGGGGCTAATTGTAGTGGAGCAGAGAACTCTTGGCAGTAGACCTTGCACTGCCCAACGCCCTTTGCTCCCAAACCGTGGTCCACCTGGGGTTCGGGGTCTCATTTTGTAGGACAGCGAACGGGGCGTAATTAACATGAGCAAGGCAGTTCTCAAAGCATCCCGCAGCGATGTGCGAACGGACGGCAGCAGACTGTCGAACGATTCTCGTACGCTGGTTGAGGGATGTGAGGATCTTATTTTCCAGCTTCCGGGTTGTGGGTTTTGCTTGTTGCTCTCGGAGGAGTTTGGCAACCAGGCTCTCCGGATTTGGAGCTGCGCTGCTCGGCCGCAGCGTTATCTCCGCATGCAGCAGCACGCAAGACCCCCCAAAAGCAGCCCCAAAGCATGGTCAAGCCTAGAGTCTAGAGATGTCTAGAGGCTCCAGAGATCCCTCCGAGACTCCAGCAGAGCATTTCCTGCTAGCGCCCGTGGAAGGTCCCCCACGAACAGGCTCGGCTCTTGGGATCAGAGTGCTGACTTCAGCAAATGTTCTCTGAGTGTGTGTTATAGTTCAGGAGGGTGCCTTTCTCCTTTCTCTCCCCGTCTCTCCATTGCTTGCGACGAAGCTACGGGCCCAAGTTGCCAGGCTGCCGGACACGGCGTACGGCACTATGTCGATGAGCCCATACAGCTATCTGGGCGTGGGCTTCTCAGAACCAGGGCCAGAGACGAGCATCTGTACTCTGGCCCTTGCCCAAGGTGCCTCTCTCCGTGCCGTGAGCTGGGTGTTGCCGTCTCTGAAGCTCGACACGTCTGCTTTCGCCTTTTGGCAAGAGCAGTTCGCCTAGAGGGCCTCGAATTATCTACTTTTGCTTTTCTTGGCGCCACAGCTCCCGAAGGCGAGCCTGTGGTTGGGCTTGGGACCCTGACAGCTCTCAAGTGATGATGTCGGATCCATGGATTTGGGGTTCCATGCCGAGCCAACCTCTTTTGTAGGAGCTGCGCAATGTCGCGTTGTGTGCCCTTGGCTTCTCTTGGAGGCTGAAGGCCTTTCACTTGTTTTACGATGCCACCTGAGGCGGAGGGTGTGAAGGCTTGTTTGGAGAAGTGCACAACCCCAACACCTGAACCCTAGCTGAGCCCGAAGTCAACTTGCTGAAGCTTTTTTGGAGGCAGTGGGTGGGTGGGGGGGCCACCAGGCCCTCGACACCATCTCAGACCCTTTGTCCGCCGGTTGGAAAATGCACCTCGGGCTCTGCTTCACGGGTAGAGTCCAAGTCCGAGATCTTCTGCCACCTTGCGCTGGAATCCACCGTGCTCCGAGGCTTAAGGCAGCATGACTCCCCCCATGTCGTGAGCAGCGAGGTCCTCATGCTTAGCAGCAAGACCTTCCCACACCTCCCCATGCTTCCCATGCTTCCCATGCTGGCCCGTGCCCACGCCCCTGCTGCGGCCGCGAGGGCGCTCGGAAGGCTTGGCGCCTGTCGATGGCGGCAGCTGTCCACCCAGGCCTCGTGGTTTGGATGACCAGTGGTAGAGGTAGTGATTCCCCGGAAGCACCGTTGCCACAAGTTGAAGCGAACCTACGGGGCCTGCAGAACTCTGGCTGTTTCGGGGTTACTGTGTGTGCATTTGGCTTCGTAAACAGCTTTCCAAGGCCCGCAGCATCTCCGGTATGTTCTGCTACAGTAGTGTTTGCATTGCACAACGTTGCAATCAGCAACGTATGCAAAGGCCCTCTGAAGAAAACCGTAGTAAGTCCGAAAGATATTGTCCCGACGCGAGCCTTCAACGAGCCTTCGCCGGGCCCTAGTCTATGACACCCAGTATCCTCGCGCAGCCGTGAGTTCTCTTGATTGCAAGACAGAGAAAGGTGTTCAAAACAAAAACCCTAAACCCCTAAACCCTAAACCCTAAAACCCTAAAAGCCCTAAAACTCCAAGCCCTAAAACCCTAAAGCCCTAAAGCCCTATAGTGAATGCCGGAAAGTTGGAGCATGGCTTTAGGGTGATTCGTGCTGGGATTTAAGGGCATGAGGATAATGATGTTCCACTTTCTGGCTTCTACTGTAAACCCTACACCCCTAACCCCTAAACCCTAAAACCCTAAACCCTAAAAACCCTAAAACCCCCACTAACCCTAAACCCCAAACCCCTTAAAGCAGGCCACCGTGGGCCGGCTCTACTTCCAAAGCGACCAGGCCCTGGGCCGGGGACGAGTAAGTGCTCGTGATACCAAGGGTTTGGCGGTAGAAGTACCAGTCTCGTAGTAGTAGTAGTAGTAGTAGTAGTAGTAGTAGCGGTAGCGGTAGCGGTAGTGGTAGTGGTACAGCAGTGGTAGTCGTCGTGGTAGTGGGAGGAGTATCAGTACTGGTACCAGCACTAGTTTTAGTACGAGCACTAGCACTAGCACTAGCACCAGCACTAGCACTATCACTGAAACCAGTAATGAATCGGATTACCGAGCAAGGGAAGTATCACATTGCAGCAGCACTCATAATACGTCCAGCAGACTTGAAATAGTGCTGCGCAGCGCTAGCCAGAGGAGTGCAGCTTATAAGATGACTACAAAGGAGCACAAGCAGAAGCCGTGCAAACTAATAGGCCCTAAGCCGCACAAAGAGGTGCCACGGAGCATCATCTCCACCGGCCGAGTCGGCACCAACAGAGACCTCCTGGGATCTGACGGAGAATTCTTCGGCACAGATCCTGTGGCACTCGAGGCCCGCAGCACGCGGAATTCTCTCTCTCTCTCTCTCTGTCTCTCTCTCTCTCTCGCTCTCTCTCTCTTTCTATCTCAGTCTCACGCTCAGTCTCTCGAGTTGTCGATGTATGTATGTATGTATGTATGTATGTATGTATGTATGTATATCTATGTCTGTCTACTTTTTCGTCCACGATTTTTGTTTACGGACATTTGCCATCTTTTATTTACATTGAACTCGTCTTGCTGGTAGGGCTGTAAAAGCTGTACACGTGCAGGATAAACGAAAGCACTTGCCACATGCGTGCTTCTGTAAACTTCTGAGCCCGGCACCCAAAAAGCTTGAAAGCATGCAAAGTTAAACAGTTAGGCATCATCTGCGGCTTGATGGAGAGTTTCCTTCCTGAGCAGAGATCCCCTCTTGATGAAGACCCTGTTTTCGGTTTTCGAAACGGAATGTGGGAGATCATGCAGATCCGGGCAGGTGCCCATCGCCAACGGGAGAGATGAGAAGCTGAACCTGGATGAGAACGGCTTTTGCCTACTCCCGCACGCAGCTTTTCTCAAACTCCAGGTGAGAGGTTCTGTCTGATGTGATCTTTCTTTTCTGGATTCACATTTGTGTCTAGAGTTCTTCGTTGATTTCGCCGCCTGTGCTCCTGTCTGTAAGGGTTGGGCACACATCGACTACTACGACAATGAAAAGGTCATCGAGACTTACTACAGTGAGTGTGAGGCCGGATTTGATATTGTTACTCCTGCTCGCAAAAGCTCACGCTGCCTAGAGCTCAGGACATCGTGCGCAAAGCAACAGGTGCATCAAGGGCCCTGGCCTTTGATCACAACATTCGCGCAAAGCAGCGAAAGCAGGCGCGCCTGCCGTCGATGCCCCACCCGGAATGTCTTTCCAGTTTCGCCTCTGAAGCTTTGGCATGTTGAAGCTGTGCCCGCAGATCCGAAGAGGTACTGTAGCGGTATTGCGCACACGACAATCACATGTCCATTCACATGCACTTTAGCCTACTGCGCAGTACACATTGGGGCGTGCCAGCACAGGGTGGGGTGTTCCAACATTGATGCATCTACGGTGCTGTTGCTGCTCTTCTGGCTGCAGGCTGGTGATCGTGGCACCCTCAGAGCCCCGTATGATCGAGAAATCGAAGATCCAAAACCCGAAGCGCTACATCGGGGCCTCATCCGGGTGCTTCTTAAGGTTTAGGGTTCTTTTGCCGGGCTTAGGGTTCAGGGGTTATAGGGTTTGGGGTTCAGGGGTTTGGAGCACCCTGTAAAGGGCCCCTCCTCGCAGCCCGAGGCCTTCGTGGCGGCAGCGCCGTTCAGGAGCCTCTGGTCAGCTACGGCATCCACAACGCACCTCGGCTTTTACGGTCGATACGGAGACATGAAGGGTTGGTAGGGGGTCTACAGGTGGAAGGGCACTTTCTTTCGGGGGAGTTTGGGGGTGCGTCGCAGAGGCTCGGTCGGGGCGAAGCAACAGCGGGAGGGTGCAGCTAGCGGCTTGGGCCCTGCCAGGGTTTCGGGTTTCAAGTGATCTTGGCTTGAACTCTGATGCTTTCTGCCCATTTGAGATTTTCTCGCTTGGAGGACAGCCGAACTGACAGTTTGTTGAGGTGGATCCTCGATCAGACAGCACAGCCTCAGATTGCGGTGTCCATGAATCTCCTCAACTGGTCTTCTTCGCAAGAAGCTCGGGCTCAAAATTGGCCCGGCAATATCCAGGTATCCAACAGGTGCGTTTCGCCACCATGGATGGAAACGATGATCCCCAGATGAGCCGAGATGAGCTCTTCGACGTTGTCAGAGACGGGGACTTTGCCGATGCCAAGAACGCTTTGGCAAAATCCCACATGTCCTGGCGACATACAGCTTTACGTCAAAATTTTCTTTTCTTCATTGCGGCACGGCGCCGCCGGGGCTCCGAGCCATTGGCGAGGCAGTGCATTGCTATGGGGGTTAATCTGGAAGAGGTTGACCTGAATGGTCAGACACCTCTTTTCTGGGCTGCAAAGCGCGGCAACTTGGTCATGATCAAGTTCCTCCTGAATCTAGGCTTCTCTGTCAACTACCGAGACAAGACCAGGAAGACGGCGCTCTTCTTCGCCATCGAGAACGGTCA